CTCGATCCCCTCATTCACATCATCATTTGGTGGGACTTACTAGTCATGTGTTGAATTATTTGAATAATGTTGTAGTGTAATGGCCAGTCATCAATGCCATGTCTCCATCCTTCCCTCTTGCCCCATATTTTCCTAGTTTCTTATGCAACGACTGAACGCTTGATACAGTTTGGTTTTGGTTATTGTATCTGATATGGAGAAGGTTGCACATCAATGCACAGTTGCCTTTGGTTGTGAAAATTTCAGATATTGTTCTTATCCCGGATTTGTTGATAGTTGAGTCCTAAAAGGCTTTTCTTCATATAAAAATATCAAGAAAGTTGGAGAGTATAAAAGATGGATTGCACAAGAGTTTCACAGATTTTTATAAGCAGCACTGAGAGATAAAAATAAAACAAAAGCAACTGGTGCCTGCAGTTCAGTAATACAGATGTAGACCTTTCTGTCTGCTTGGTAGGTACTCAGGGAAAACATGTAGTTGCCTAAACCAAAGGTAGAAGTGTTAAGCTTTCTAATTTTGCTGGTGGCCTGTGAGGATGATTTTGCCTTAGATATATTTTGAGAATTTTCTTGCTAAATATAAATTTATTTTATTATTGTTTCATTGAATCAGAATATTACTGATTACATCTTGAGGACCTGCACCTACTGGTTTACACAATATGAGCAAGGGAATGGTTGATATGCTCAGAAATAATTAGTAGTTGTTGGTGTCTCTTATTTTGAAACCTCCCAAATTGAGGTGCTTATAAAAAGGTTCAAGTTTCCATCCTGATGCTTTTTTGAAATCATTTTTTCATGGTATCTCTACTTAGGTGCTCAAATACCACAAAGAAAAAAAAAAAATCAAATTCCTCTTTTTCATGATGTAGTCTTTCCACTTGTGTCTCTATTTTCCATTCCACAAAATGACTTTAATAGATTTCATGAATATGGGAAGAACAGTTATAGGACTCATTAAGTGAGTATGACATCATTAGAAATCAAGGGTATTATGTAGAACATTACTTAACAGTCATCTTGTGGGGTGTGTTTAATATATGTGATTTTCTACTTCTGCTTTTGTAGGATTATGACTTGGAAACAGATGTGAACAAATTGAGGTCAAGGACAGTGCTTGACTGGCCAGAGGAAGAGCTTAGACAATATGAAGCAATGTGTCCAGAACTTTCCCATAATTTTGAGGTACTGTCATAGTGCGGCTTCCTTTATTTGTAAATATTCAAGAATTTAGGAAATACTTGAAAGGGAGTACTGAGAAAAGGTAACTAGATAAGGCTATTGCAAAAGGAAACCTAGATGTTTTATAGGACTGGAAAAACAAAGATTAAGACTTTTTGCTTAGTTTATTGGTGTGAATCAAGAACGATAGAAAGGGAGTGTTGTTGGTACACATTTATGTGGGTATGGATTAACTAAGCACTATTGAATCAATTGCTACACGAGAAATTGGTCAGATAATAACTTGTATCCTTGCAATTTCAATGGCAATATCAAGATCAGAATGAGACGTGGAAAATAAATGCTGTGTTTTGGAGGAAGTAATGCAGAAGTTTGCACTGCCGCTGAATGAAATGCACAGTTCAAATCACTGTTCTGTTGCAGTTTGGGACAAGAAATGAAGAGGAGTAATACACTCATTAGAAGTCTTGGAGTTTAGGAGAGCTGAAAGCCGTGATTCAAATACGAATCTGGAAAGGACCACTGGCTTAATGTATCTCCTGTACACACAATGCTGTGACATTTATTATGACCATAAGTAGGCAAATGGATTAATTTATGCACTTGCATGAAGGCGGGGTGGAGCTTTACATGACAAACTGTCCTCCTTCACACTGCTGTAATGTTTATATTTTTAAAAAATGCCTTGCGTTTTATCTTCCCTAATTTGTTAGAACAATCAGTTTTCATTGGAGATGACTCACCCAGATGACTCAATCTGATCCTTTTAGTTTCTGAGGACTACTGTTTGAAACAGCTTTGTGGAAAGAGAAATTCTGGCAGGTGGTCTATGGGCTGATTATACTCTGGCTGTCTTATTGGATGAGTACAGTTTTGGGAGATGTGTAAATATATTCTCTTTCTTCTTTGAAAGGTTTCCTCTGGAAGGAGCACAATCTGTCTTCAGTTTCTTTTAATTTCTTCTGCTTTTTAAATTTAAAGGAGCTTGAATCGGAATCTGAGGAAGAGAAGAGCTTGGACAGGACTGAGAGTCATTTCATTCCAAGTGCTACTTCTGTGAAACATCCAAACTATACATGGAGAAAAAGTGTCACAGAGATGGGACCAGATCCAAGGGAAAAGGATTTCAAAGTCCCGCTGCAGAGCTGGACAAAGAAGGAGAAATGCAGATGGGATCAAACTGATGAAAAGAGGGATGTTGCAGAAGCAGCCCAAGATCCAGACTCCTGTGAAGAGGAAAATCCAGTCAGGAGTCACGTGCTTACTTTGCGTCCTCTCCCAAAAGATGCTGCTTGGTACAAAAAAGTGTTTTACCCTGAATGCGAGGCCTCAATCAAACCTAATCCTGGAGGGAGGCTGGAGAGCTCAAACATAGTGACAAATCTTCTGCAGAAACACCAAGGGGATATTCCATTCCATAGCCCTGGTTTCTACATAGCTAGGGCCAAATGTGTTAAGTCCATACCAGGCTACAACGACTTGGCGTTCCCTGATTTCTGGGGTCACCAGCCACCTCCTTACAGCAAGCCCATGTTGGAGCGCAAATATGGGGTCCAAAGGTGATTGTGCTTTAATATAATTACCACACTGAAAGCTCTCAGGCTCAAAACTGGTTTATGTGGGTTCCAACTATCACATCTCTGAATATTTTAAGAAGCTACAGAATGAATTTTGGGCTATCCAGTGATTTGCTGCAAAGCGATAGGCCAAACAGCAGGATCATTTTATTTAGGTTTTCCTCCTGAAGAAAGGAAAACAGTATTTGACTGAATTGCAAACAGGGTTAGGAATCAGCAGGTTTATTTCCTATGTCTGACATGCATTTTCTGTGTGTCAGTGAACGAATTGTGAACTGTCTGTGAGTTGCTTGCTTTGTCTCGTAGGTGAAGGTGGTAGTGGCAACCTTGGAGTGAGACTTTTATGGCTTCTGTGAATCCATAAAAACTCCCCTATCTCATATTCCAAATTGTTATTGATTAAACTAGCTGTTGATAAATGTATCGATGTACCTATGTGATGGGGCTCTAAGCTTTTCAAAGCACTGACATAGATTTACTAGTGGCTTTTCCTTAAAGTAAGCAGACCAAAACCCTGAAGGACCGTGAACCTGTGTGTGACCTTGTTAGAAAACAAATGAGAACAAGTTCATTTTAGAAATGGAGAAGATTCTGTGTCCTTTCGGGATATGTTTTTGCTCTTAATCCAGCCACCTTTTAGTGTTCACAACAATGGGTCCCACCTGGCTTTTGGAGGAAAGGAAAAATCCTTTCTGCCCTCTTGGAGCCGTGTGTCTGTCAGGTTGTTCTCCCTGTCTGCCTTTCTGCTGCTGTGTCCCTTCTCGCTGTGCCTCTCCCTCTCTGCCTGCTCCATGGGACCTCCGGCAGCTTCTCCTCCTTCCCTAGCATGTGCATCTGCTTCTGCGAGGTCTGGCATGAGCCAGAGAGCATCAGCACGGACAAGGTAAGCAGGCTGCTCTCCCTCCCTGCTGCCCAGCCTACTAGGAGAAGACAGCATATATGGCATGCACCTTGCAGAAAGAAATAAAACCAGATCTCTCCTCTGGCACGCTGCTAGAGGCTGATGCTTTTCTTCTGTTTTTTCAGGTGCTCAGATGGGGGGAAAGCTGTGTGTTGAAGCTGTGCTGGGAGAGGAAGCTGCTCTTATAACTACCATTTTGTCTGTTCCATGCGTGGCTGTGTGCAATGACTTCACATTTCTTTTTAGCGGTGTAGTGAATTATTAGCAGATACCAAAGAGTCCGGATTCTGTGCTAAACTTTAAAGTTGATCAATGCTAATCAAATGGCATTTGTGAAGACCGCTAATTTCTGACCTCTGGAGAGATAATGATTCTTTCTGCAGCAAATATAATTCTAAAAGTTTTATTTAGAGGCAAAAATCATCATCATCAAGAAGTACTATATTCTTCCTGCACTGTTGCTCTAAAAGCTTTGCTTTTATGACTATAATAACATGTGTAACCATACAGCTAAAATGGGAATAATCATATCATGCTTTAGGGCATAACTTGATTGCTGCAAAGGTCAGGAAGAAAATCTGGTATTCCACACTTGATCATCTTTAGGGATCAGAGAACTTCAGTTTAATAATGAGTAGAAATTATCTTGATTTAGAGTCAAGATTCACTCTGAGACAGATTAGTAGGTTTATAAGTCGTGGCAGATATTTCCTCACGGGACAAGGCTGGCCATCTGGGAGATTGACATTGACTGGGAAGAACTGGGGATAAATCAAACCTGGCAGAATACTGTAGAGAATAAATATTGTACAGAATCAGTCATTTAATGCAAAAAACAACTTGTAATGGGAACAGAGCAGGAGCTTTCTCATGGTAAAAAACCAAAACCCAAATCACAATACAAGAAAAAAATCAACAAACAAACAAATGAAGTTCACCTGGAATTAGCACATGGAAATCTTCTTTCTTACCAGTCCTTCAAAATAATTTCCTAAGCCTCTTTGTATTTCTTCTACAAGATTACCCTATACCAAGATTTCTCACAATGTCATTACAATTTGCTTTTTTTTTTCCCTCCTCTAGGGACAAAGTACTAGATGATATTCGGCGCTTAATCCAGCCAGGTGATGTGATAGGCAGAACTGTTTTTGATTTAGAGCAGCCCAGGTGGGTAACTTAAATTGAGTACTGTAACTGGGGGCATTGTCAGTGCTTCGTTAGTTTATTTGTTCAGCTCCGATAAAGGTATAGAAGAAATAACCTAGGAGGCAAAGGCCCAACAGGAAAAGTATACAGGAGGAGTAGATTCAGAGTATGTGTCTTTGAGGAAAGGATTTATTGTGGAAGTTAGGGGAGCAAGGGAGCCTCAAGACTTTTCAGATAGAACAAGAGAATCTACACAGCAAAGGGGCTCTGCAGTGTCCCTGCATATATCTGCATTGTACGTAGTGATTTGGAACAGACGTGCAGGCTGGCATTGGGAATTATGAATTATTATTATATATGGATATATGAATCCAGATGCAGTCTATCTGCACCTAGGCTGAGCAGGCTTCCCATTGAGAGTGCACTTGAGCATCTGTATAGCCAGTGTCACAGGCTGTAGGTGAATCTGAGGGTTTCTAAGCTTTAGGAGAAGGAAACTATAGATGAGGGAAGAGTAAATGTATAGTAATTGTATAAAACTGCCTGGTGCAAATAATAAACTAATGGGAATAGCTCAGTGGGAAAAGTAACTAGAATAAAGAAAGTAAATATGAACTGGGACAACAGGGAGTATTGGGAAAGGAAAAGAAGATGCAATTTAACATCACTAAGCAAGGGTAGAGAAGAATGCTGCATTGGATAGGAAGGTTATGGATTTGCTCACGTCTTGCTGCTTCTCAGGGTCTTGTTTATTAAAAAAACTTTAAAAAACCTGTCTTAGCATACAAAATATGCTGGGGAATACTTGTCTTTGAAGCAACCTGCTATAGGTATCCTTGCTTTGATTTACTGCAGTCACTCAAGCCAAGGTGCCCCAAGCTGTCTGACATTCTTCTCCAAGTTTGAATCTGGAAATCTTCGCAAAGCCATCCAAGTGCGTGAGTAAGTACACCAGCTTGTACAACCAGCCTTTCTGCTGTGACCACAGGGTGAAATGGTGGAATTTTTCTGGGTTCAGAAAGGGTTGACCAGGGAAGCAGGTTTTGACACCTGCCAACACCTAGATTTCAGGAAAGTAACAGTACAGAGAAAGCAGAGCTCACAACATTTTGACATGACTAACATAGTGTGAGTATTTAATGGCGTGTTTGAGCACCGCTATTTTGATGGCATTCTTTGACTCTCACAGGGTATTAATGAATTTGATTGTGTAGCCTGCTCTCCTCAGCAGGTTCAGTGGCAGACTGGTGGGATGTTCATGGCCACCATTTTTTTTGTCTTCCTTAACAGGTTTGAGTATGACCTAATTATGAATGCAGATGTCAACAGCAACCAGCATCACCAGTGGTTCTACTTTGAAGTCCGTGACATGAAACTAGCAGTTCCCTATCGCTTCAACATTATAAACTGTGAGAAGTTCAATAGCCAATTTAATTATGGTATGAGTCTTTGGGGAATTGAGATAGTCGTCTGTTCACAAGAATATCTTTTTAGTGCCATAAAGGTTTTGAACTTTCCACGTCTATCTGTATCAGGAAGAATGAAAGTTTAATCTTATCTACCTTAGAATCCACTGAAAGAGTTACTCTAGATTTGGCAAAGGACCTTTCTCTATCCTCAGGAGGACTGAGGAGTAAGCTGAATATTGAGACTGCAGAGAGGATTTGTGGGGGGAAAAATGTCATTATTCTGTGTGTATAGACCAGAACTGAGTAAGAATGGTACTGGGGCTGGGAGAAGGGGGAAAAAAGATGATGATCTGTTGGAATTGAATGAGCAGCATAGGATTGGAAAGTGCTTCTAAGATTTAAATGTGTAGATAATCCTCAAACAAATATTCATGATTCTTTGGGCTTATCCAGAAAGACATCTCTGCCTTTAGACCTGCTGAGGCTTCTGCTATTATTAATGATAAAAAGAATTCTGTTCCTGGCTGTCTTTGAGCTCCTGTCATAGTCTGTGGTTCAGGAGGAAGGTGGCATTGCTCAGAAACAGGCAGGGCAAATCCCAGCTTTCAGTGCCCGTTTCAGAAGAGGAATTATTTCTTCTGCATGGAGATTGTGGGTTGAATTCTTAGCTGTCATAGGCTGGGTTTTTTAATTTGTTTCCATGGAGCTGTGTTAATTTACACCAGCTCAAGATCTGACTCAGAATGTTTAATAAGCCCCTAATATCAGACTGTATTCCTCTATAGCCCTGTGGATACAGTCTTCAACATCACCAGAAGAACCTTCTCAGGATCAACGTACCTAAAACAAATAGCACTAGGAGCTGGAATGACTTGTCCCTTGTAGTTGTGAAACTGGCTGGATGAGTGGCACAATGAATTATAAGGCATTTGCTCTTTAACCCGAAGGGCTGGAGTTCAAATATTCATATAGATCCCAAATGAAAATGAATTTTTTGCTTGTCATCTTATTCTGTTTCCCTGAATTACCAAACAATTCAGTGCTGATGTCTGGTAGCAGCCTGAAAATAAAGTATGTTGAGGTCCTACTGTAAACCCCAATACAATCTCTGATACAGCTACTAGTACCTTCATAGCTAGAGATTCTGGCTGCTATTGGTGGAAGGTTGCTTGTTGTCTGCTAGTTTGGCTCTTGTCAGCATTTATAATCTCATTTTGTGCACCTGAAATTGTATGACTCACATGTTCGAGCATGCAATGAAAAATGTATTTGGAAGAAAAATGTGAAAATACCATCGGGCATAAGGAGGCTAAGCCATGGCTTGCTTTTGTATGGCTTGTGTGTGGGATTGGCTGTTAAAGCAATTCTTCTGTGGGTTACTTCTGCTGCTCTGAGAGGGCAGTGGAGCTCTAGCTTATCTGGTTTGGCTGAGAAAGGCTTATTACCCCTTCCAGCACATGCATAATATATACGCAGACCGTGGGTAAGAGATGCTGTTTATTTGCTACATTCCCTCTGCACTTTCCTGGGCTAGTGCCCATGCTGTACTACTAAAAGCTTCCAATTGTGATGTAGTGTCAAAGTGCCATGGGTGGCAATGCTTTACAGCTCCTGGTTACTGATGTATTTTGATTTTTTCCTTCCCTCTTGCTCTTGGTTAGATGGCACTGTGTAATTTTCAAATTGGCAAAAAGGCTATTTCATGAAATAGTTGTGACCAAGAGCAGAGAAAGTCAGGAGATGCAGCCTCCACCCCTCTCCTTCACCATTTTCCACCAACTTATTCCACCATGGGAAATAATGATATTTCATCAGAAGCCTGATTTGTGTCTGTTTTCTAAAACCAAATGTTTCCATAGGGGAAGTGGAAAGGAAAAAAATTTTTTTTTTTTTTTTTTATTAATATGAGATGGCAGATCAGTGTCAATGTCATGGTTTAGTCTCAGCTGGCAACTAAGCACCACGCAGCTGCTCACTCACTCCACTATGGTGGGACGGGAGAGAGAATCAGAAAAGTAAAAGTGAGGAAACTCATGGGTTGAGATAAAGACAGTTTAATAAGTGAAGAAAAGCTGCGCATGCAAGCGAAGCAAAACAAGGAATTAATTCACCACTCCCCATGGGCAGGCGGGGGTTCAGCCATCTCCAGGGAAGCAGGGCTCCGTCACGCGTAATGGCTTCTTGGGAAGACAGACGCCATCACTCTGAACGTCCCTCCACCCCTTCCTTCTTCGTCCCAGCTTTATATACTGAGCATGACGCCATATGGTATGGAATATCCCTTTGGCCAGCCTGGGTCAGCTGTCCTGGCTGTGTCCCCTCCCAGCTTCCCGGGCACCCCCAGCCTTCTTGCTGGCAGGCCAGCATGAGGAGCTGGCCTGTCCTTGGC